ATTAGGGGTTTGTAATTTATTAATAAAAGCTCATTATGGCATTTCCATGCCAAGTAATATTCTATAACATTAGCAATAAAATTTATCTGACTTGCATAAAACTTCAGGAACATTTATGCTTTTTGGAAATGCCATGGGACATTATGACATCTGCAGCATTAAATAGTTTTTTGTTATTTATTCAATACTCATGATACTAGTTTAAATCCTCCTCAAAATAAATATATTATATATATTTATATATATATTATAATAAAAATATTATAATCCAAAAGGTATAGATATAGATATTATAAAACTTACGAATGGTGAAGAGTGATGAATGGAATTGCTTAAAAAAACCCAACTGTAGAGCATTACTCTTTAGAGATATAGGATTGAAGAAAAGGAATTGATTGAATTTTCCTTAAATTTTGCTGACATATGTAAGTAGATGTCAATGTCATAAAGTGCAAAGCACAATATTCCCCCCACTCCAAATCAGCAAACTGTTGTCCAGTTTTAAACAATTTGATGCCTATGCTTTATGTATTTGTTCATGAGGAGCTATCACTTAGAACAGTGAACTTCAATTGGTGTGAAATACTTTTTAGAGACAGGAGGCGGAATGATGGTTACTTTTGCTCTAGGTAAAAGGAGATGATATTGTTCTTCAACCATTTTGTGATGAAGGTCTACATTTTGGCTCTTTCCCTTCTATTCAAGTTTGAAAGTACAATGACATTATAAGGCTTTATCATAAATAAATGTATTGTTTTAATGTAGTAGTCTGTTTAGCCTTGATATCCACAAACATTCATTATGTTGCAGTGTTTTAAAGGTACCTAAACAGCCTTTGTTAATATGTATTCCCCCCAAAAATTAGTATTTTTTTTTAAAAGATCTTATTCATTTATTTGAGAGAGAGAGAGAGAGTACGAGCAGGGGGAGGGGCAGAGGGAGAAGCAGACTCCCCTCTGAGTGAGGAGCCCTACTCGGGGCTTGATCCCAGGACCCTGAGGTCATGACCTGAGCCAAAGATGCTTAACTGACTGAGCCACCCAGGCTCCCCCCAACCCCAGAGCAGTATTAATGCAATCTTGGATAAAGCTGGACGTCTTAAAAGGTGCCTTGTCCATCAAAAGGGGATTAGAAAACGTCCACCGGTCCAGGGAAGTGAATATGATCTTGTCATATGCTGGGGCTCCATGTGAAAAAATATGGAAGAGTCGTCAGATGGAAATCAAAACACCATGACCAGGAGAGGGGTCTGAAAGTTTCCTGTTCACATGGTTTGGGGACTTTAAGTCAATACATTTTCCTAAACTGAGTCACAAAATAGGCAATACTCATAGGATCCTAGCAGGAACAAATGAAAATTGTTCTGTTAGTATACTTCCTTCCTGCGCTCCTCAGTAAAGGAATGCCTATAATGGATGACCTCACAGATGAAGATAGGAGTCTCCCTGGGGAAGAATCAACAGCTATAACAATAGGAGATCAGCAGCCTTGAAATTGGAAATTATAGAATAATGTAAATGAGTCAATATATTCAATATGTTAATTGACTATAGATAAAAGAAGAAATCAGGAGTCACAAAGACACAGTAGAAAATCATGGAAGAAAAAGAGCCATATTTGTAAAAAAAAAAAAAGCCAAATAGAAGTTGTAGAAGTGAAAAACAAAATATTGAAATTTGGAAAAATCCAATGACTTATTAGAAAGCCATGTTAATTTAAATGTTCAATAAATAGAACAGTAGAACAGAATAGAGAACCCAGAAACATACCCAAGCATGGATGGAAACTTGCCATTCAACAGAGGAAGTATTACGATAAGGGGAAAGGATAGAGTACTTAGCAAATGCCATTGTGTCAAATGATAACCATATAGAAGAAAGAAGATTGAATCTCGGCTTTATACTAACCACAAAATCAAATTTATCTGGATTAAGGACCTAAAAATATAAATAAAAGATTCAAACTTTCAGGGAAAATTATAGGTAAATATTTTGTCAGGGTCTAGAAAAATTTCTTTTTCTTTTTTAAAAATTTTATTTATTTATCTGGCAGAGAGAGACACAGCGAGAGAGGGAACACAAGCAGGGAGAGTGGGAGAGGGAGAAGCAGGCTTCCCACAGAGCAGGGAGCCTGATGCAGGGCTCAATCGCAGGGCACTGGGATCATGACCTGAGCTGAAGGCAGAGGCTTAACGACTGAGCCACCCAGGCGCCCCTAGAAAAATTTCTTAAAGTAGTCACAAAATAAAATCATTAAGGATAGGGCAGCTAGATACCCTCATGCAAAAGAATGAAGCTGGACCTGTACCTCACACCATGCACAAAAATTAACTAAAAAATGAATCATGGGTCTAAATAGAAGAGCTAAAACTATAAAACTCTTAGAAGAAAAAATAAGTACAAATTTTATTTTAAACTTGGAGTTTAACATTGGAGTTGGCAATGATTTCTTAGATATGACATCAAAAGCACAAATAACAAAAGAAACAGATAAACTGGACTTTGTCAAAATTAAAAACATCTGTGCCTTTATCAAAGGGCACTAACAAGAAAGCAAAAAGAAAATTTACAGAATGGGAGAGAATATTTGCAAACATGTATCTAATAAAGTGCTAGTATCCAGGATGTATAATGAATTCTTACAACTGAACAATAACAAGACAGATAACCCAATTTTTAAAATGGGCAAAGGATTTGAATAGACGTTTACCCAAAAGAGATACACGAATGGCCAATATGCACATGAGAAGATGCTCAACGTTATTGGCCATCAGGGAAATGCAAATCAGAGCCACAATAAAATACCATACCATTTCACACCCACTAGCATGGCTACAATAAAAAGATGGACATTTGGAGTGTTGGGGAGTATGAGGAAAAATTGGAATCCTCACACCTGGCTGGTGGGAATACAAAATGGTACAGACACTTTGGAAAACACTCTGGCAGCTCCTGAAAACAGACTGTGGAAGACTCAACAATTCCATACCTACACACATGCCTAAGCATAGTTATCTATGAATACATCTGGGTAAACCTCAAAATTATACTAGAGTTGAAGAAGCAGTTCATAAAAAGATATGGATGGAATTATAACATGTGAATTTAAAAAATATATTAATAGGTAACTTGTTATACAGTGTATTTTTTGCATGTATATACTTAGGTACTAAAAGTGTAATCGAGCCCTGATAATTGAAAACATATGTCCACTGAAAACTTTTACTTGAATGTTCATAGTTGCATTATCCATAAGTGGAACCAAACTGAATTTCCATCAATGGATGAACAGAAAAACAAAATGTGGTATATCTATGCAACTGAATATTACTTAGCCATAAAAATAAATGAAGGACTGGCACATGCTACAACATGCATGAACCTTGAAACCAATAATCTTAGGAAAAGAAGCCCAGTCACAAAAGGGCACATATTTTATGGTTCCACTTGTATATGAAACATCCAGAGTAGGTAAATCCAAAGAGACAGGAGTAGATTAGTGGTTGCCAAGGGCTGGAGGGTGGGCTAGTGGGGAGTGGTTGCTGATGGGTATAGGATTTCTTTTGAGGTGAAGAAAATGTTCTGGAATGAAATAGTGGTGATGGTTGCATAACTTTGAATATACTAAAAACCATGGAATTCTATACTTTAAAAGGATGAATTTTATGTTATGTGAAATGTATATCGATTAAAAAAGAAGAAAGATTAAGGAAAAGATTGATTAATTTTATGTTAAAATTTAAAGTAATGCCATATAAGAGTGTAGATAACTAGCTGAGAAACAAAATGTCCACCAGGTAATACGCATAAGTCAAGAACAAGAAATTCACAGAAGAGGAAAACCAAATAACCAATAAACACATACTGATCAATGAGATACAAATTACAACAATATTGAGCAACTTTCCCATGTGTATGCAAGCATGTTAATAGCAAAAGTTAGAAAAATATGTATGTCTAACAAAGAATTGGTAAATAAATTATAGTATATTTGTGCAATGGAAGACAGTAGAATTATTAAAATGAATAAACTAGACATATGTATACATCTGGGTAAACCTCAAAATAAACTACAGAGTTGAAAAAGCAGTTCATAAAAAGATATGGATGGAATTATAACATGTGAATTTTAAAAATACATTAATAGGTAACTTGTTATACAGTGTATTTTTTTGCATATATATACTTATATACTAAAAGTGTAAATATCTAGATTAGGAGAATACACAGCATCTTCAGGATATTGACTAAATGTGGGGAGGGGAAGGGAAGTCAATGGATTAAGAAGAAGGGAAAAGGGAGCTTCCAGTTCATGTTTTGTATTTTATTTCTTTACAAAGAAGTCAGAAGAATACATAGTGTAATAAAAATAATTGTTACATTTTGTTAATTGTTAAATACGGTGTTTTAAATATTATTCTCTGTACTTTATTGTCAACATGACAGTTAAACATGGTGTCAGGCTTATATTTATATAATAATGATGATGTAATAAGTTTTGTCACAGACTCACATGACATTTGCTTTTGTTTGTTTGTTAAATTGCCCGTTTGCTTCCTTCGCCTGTGTTTCTATTGGCGCGTGCCTGATATTGGTTGAAAATTCTGTTTGGCTATGAATAGCAGAAACCTGGAAACAGCAACTTAAGCAGATTGCAGGTTTTATTTTTTCTCATGGAATGAAAGACCAAATGTCAGAAATCCGAGTTGGGTACAGTGGCTCCGTGATGCTAGGGGAGAGATGGGACTCTCTGTGTCTTCCCACCAGCCCATCCTTAGCGCAGTCTTGGCACCCTAGGCGTCCCAGGATAGCTGCTTTGCTTCCCGGGAGGGGGTGGTGGCAGTGCTGTGTTCCAGGCAGGAAGAAGTGGAAGGAGGAAGGACAAAATGTATCTACCAATATGTCCTCCCCACAAGCCCCATCCTCTTGCCCCACGCATTCACGATATTTTAAGAAGCCTTCCTGAAGGTCTCAACTAAAAACGTCCTCTTTTTTTCTCAGTGGCCAGAACTAGGTCAGATGACGACCTCTACTGAGGAACTCAGCAGTATTTGTCTAAGCCTTCCCGCAGACAGATACCGAGAAGCTGGTAAGCCTTCACAGCTGACAAGCAGGGATGTTAATGATGGTGACAATTACAACAGGTGCCATTTATTGAGCAGTGCTCTATGGCAGGTGTGTGAGCTCTGTACATTTCATCTTGCTCAATCTTCACTGCAATCCTAAGAATTAAGTACCTGTATTAACACCCATTTAAAAATGAAGAAATGGAGACTCAACGAAGGTGGAGTAACATGTCGAAGGTCATATGGTGGTGGGACGGGAACTTGAGTCCAGGTTTGTCTGACTTCCAGGTTGCCTGGAGCTGTCCCGGTTTTAGCCCTGAAAGTCTCATGTCCCAGGACCCATGTCAGTCCCGGAACAGTGAGGTCACCCACTGAAACTCAAACAGTATTAGGGTAGGAGTTCAGTTAAACTTTGTGGAGTGGTTATTTTAATAAATATTGTTTCTCTGTTTTCATAAATGTTAAAGACTTGCAACATATCGAGAACATAACCTTTCATATTATATGTCTTTCTTTTGCCTTGTAATTTGTAGGACACTTTCTGATACACAGTATTTTTAAGTTTTATGTGTCTGTCTATTTTCCTTTATCGTTTCTTCCTTCACTTTTCTGTTTAGATATTCTTCCCCATTCTACCCAAAAAAGTTGTATTTTCTTCTGGTTCTTTGAGAATCTACTTTGTAATCCCCAAAGTAAAATGGGGATGTGCAGGAATGGGAAAGAGTTTCATGCACATGTTCCATTTCCCAGGTTTGGGTGAGTGTTTTAGAACTTTAAACTTAAATGTTTGAAATGTTCGTCTCAGGAACTGATTTAAAATCCGTAACTTAAAGGAATGAAAACTCTTCCCCATGCATTCCCAATGTGCACTGCACATGTATCTGATCTGCGTCGGCAATCATGTCAAAATGTGTCAGCTCATTTCATATTCTTTTTAACTGTCCTTTGATTAAGGGAGCGCTGTATCAACTTTTGTAAGCCTGCAGTCAAATATACCTTCAAATTATTAGCACCTGGTGAGAAATGTCCTTCTCATTCTAAACACCAGTTCATCATGTCTTATTTGTAATTCACTTGATGATTTTGATATATCATTATAAATACTATATGTGACTAAGTCTTTATACTGAAGCTTTGTTCTTGTAAAAATGGCAGAAAATGTGAATTGCATAATGTGTCCCTGATACAGATGTGTGGATCTAGACCAAACAGGTGTGGTGCTAGGCTGAGATGATAAATCACCAGCCCCACAAGTCTTTGTGTTGAGAAACATGAGGTCATTAGTGTTTATCTTGCACCGTTGGCTCTAACTTAGTGTTCTAGCCTATGGAATGGGAAAATGTTTGTGAATTCACTGTTACTGACAAATAATTATTAGAAGTTATTTTATTATAAAACAAAATTAATGCTCTAGTCAAGATATTAGCAAACTTTTTGTGAAGAGCCAGATGGTAAACGTTTTAGATTTTGCTGGTCATAGATCTCTAGGGCAACTATTCAACTCTGCCTTTGTGTGGCCATAAACGGTGCATAAACAAATGGGCATGGCTGGGTGCCAATCAGTTATTTACAAAAGCAGTTGGTCTGTATGATTTGGCTGGTGGGTTATAGTTTTCCAACTGTTGGATGGTCAACATATTCATTCCTTCACAACTGAGTTTTACTTGAAAGGTGGGAATCAGTTGCTATTCTGGAAAATATTAAACAAGTGTTCCTATCATTGGTACTTGAAGACTTTGACTTCAGTGTCTTAAGATTAAACTGGAAAGCCCTTTGAACATTTTTGGAAGAGAAGAATCATAATGTAAATAAGAAATTGTGTGTTAGGATTGGTTATATCAATCTCAAGCAAAAAGTTAGTGTCTCAAAATTTCTTTAAGTGGCCTATAATTTTCTTCTTAAACAAATCTATCTTCTACCAGAAAGCTGGACATAGCTTTTAATACCAGTGGGGGTCCAGGCTTAGAGGAAGGGAAGCATATGGATACCATACATTTGTTAGAGTTTGTCTCTATGTAATCACAAAAATTGGATACTCCAGAACTCTGTATAACACATTTGGATGGTCTACTTTAATGCACAGAGTTTCTATATCATAAAGGCAGCAAATGCAAGATTTTTCCTTAGTATCATAACTTCATGCTTTACTAAATCAGGATGATTGACAGAAACTTGCTTCTGTTTTCATGGATTCTCTTATAGTACAGACTGTAATCTGTGCACCAGTCTCTGATTGGATGTAATCACATTTCAAAGCCAAATATAATTATATAACTATACATATAACTATCTACAACTCTCTCTTCTCTCTCTCTGTCTCTCTCTTTATATTTGAATATACATATATTCAAATCAGTCTCTTATGGACTCCCAAGTATCCATGAATATTTATTCCATCAAAATTTGAATGTTATCAGGACTTAAATGAAGTTTCATACTTTGAAAAACTTCCCAGTCTGTGATAGGGCTTTTGTGGTTGTTGTTCTTGTCTTTTGTTTGTTTTTATACTTTCAACAAGTACTTTGTTATTCTTTGGTGTTTGGCTTATTTTTGGAGATACTCCCAAAGCAACTGGAGATGATATATATAAAATAAATAAGGTAGATGTTCAAGTTGGAGATAATATTTTTGTTCAAAATTACAATGTAATATTAAAGAAACAGGACTGAGTTTTTGTTCTGTCTTAAAATGTAGCTTTAAGGGATTTTCAGATGTCTTAAGTGGTGGAAGCATCACTGGACTACGCTTTGCCTCCTTACCTAAATTTTTGAAGGACAATTTTCATTTGGTCATGGAAGCTAAGATGTGTTTTAGAAGTCTCATTACTCTATTCATACCTTATAAAAATAGCCCTGTGATTCTCCCTTAGAAAGATAATTTAGACAAATATAAGAAACTATCAGCACATTTGTAATTATCTCCTTCAAGAAATCTATGGATGCTTTGCTGCTAATTCCCCTCACCTGCCTGAAATGATGAACTTTCATCATGAGAGTTTTCCTCTTGAGTAACTGAAACCTATGTTGTCCTTTGTGGGTGGTATTCTGGGGGTGACCAGTGAGGGGGGGCAGGAAAAATAGTTCTTTATTTTTCTCATCATGGAGTCAAGTGTTGTAGGAGAGTAGTCTGGGGCCCACGGTGGGGACGGGGTGCTGGGGATAAAGGCATAATCAGGAGAGAGAGGGGGAAATGTTCAAAGGAACAATACATGGGATTATTTTTATTTCAAATAGATTTAACTGGAGGAGGATATAGCCTCAGAAATAGAAGCAACAACGAATACATTTGAATTGAGACTATAGAACATGTCTTCCTGGGGCGCCTGGGTGGCTCGGTCGTTAAGCATCTGCCTTCGGCTCAGGTCATGATCCCAGGGTCCTGGGATCGAGACCCGCATCAGGCTCTCTCTCGCTGTGTCTCTCTGTCAAATAAATAAAACCTTTAAAAAAACAAACAACAACAAAAAGAACATGTCTTCCTTTGGTATGTTTCTTTTTCTCTCTGTTAAAATCCATATGTGCCACCTTCATCCTGCATAAATACCAAAAATTATTGTTAATTTTCTAATTGCAAAATAAATACATACTTAATGAAGAACACTTTTAAAAGAAAGAAGCAAAGCGATAAAAATTACCCATCATTGGCCAACAGACACATGCAAGGATGTTCAACATCCCTCATCATCAGGGAAATGCAAATCAAAACCACAATGAGAGATCACCTCACACCTGTCAGAATGGCTAGTATTCAAAAGACAAGAAATAACAAGTGTCAGTGAGGATGTGGAGAAAAAGGAACCCTTATGCACTGTTGGTAGAAATGTAAATTGGTGCAACATGGGAAACAGCATGGAAGTTCCTCAAAAAATCAAGAATAGAAATGCCGTATGATCCACAATTCCTGCTATTGGTCATTTACACAAAGAAAATGAAAACACTAATCTGAAAAGATAGATGCACCCCTATGTTTATTGCAGCAATATTTACAATAGATATGGAAGCAACCCAAGTGTCCATCAGTAGATGAATGAATAAAAGAAGAGGTGGTGTGTGTTTATGTGTAATGGAATATTACTCAGCCATAAAAAAGGATGAAATCTGACGATTGGTGACAACATGGATGGATCTAGAGTGTATTATGTTAGTAAAATAAGTCAGACAGAGAAAGACAAATACTGTATGATTTCACTTATATGTGGAATCTAAAAAACAAAACAAATGAATAGACAACCCCCCCTCCCCAAACACAGACTCTTAAATATAGAGAACAAACTGGTGGTTCCCAAAGGGGAGGTGGGAGGAGGTGAGATAGGTGAAGGGGATTAAGAGGTACAAACCTCCAGATTTAAATAAGTCACAGAGAGGAAGAGTACAGCATAAGGATTATAGTCAATATTTATAATAACATTACATAGTGACAGCTGGTGACTACTCATTTTGGTGAGCACTGAGTAATATATACAATGGTCAGATCAATGTTGTGCACCTGAAACTAATATAACATGGTATATCGATTATACTTCAGTAATAAATTTTTAAAAACCACAATGAGATGTCACCTCACATCAGTCAGAATGGCTAGTATCAAAAAGATAAGAAATAACAAGTACTGGTGAGAGAGTGGTTAAGAATAAACAGAATGTTCAAGCACTTTGGTGGGAATGTAAATTGGTATAGCCACTGTACAAAAAATTACCTTTCATTGATCATACAGAAATATTCATGGTAAAACTTGAATGTTTGTGTCCTCCAATTATCTTCTTTCCCTCCTTCCTTCCTCCCCTTCTCTTTTTTCCCTTCTTTTTATTTATTTCTATTAAATTCTTGTTTTATCAAAAGGAGGACCCATCACATTAAATATGATGTTTCATAAAATACCGTGTTATATAGCAGTATATCTATCTCTTACTATATCTCTTTGTCATTTCCCCCAACATAATTAAAAAATAATTTTAAATAGCTCTATTTTTTTATTATAAGCAATACATATTTATTGCAAAATAATTTAGAAAATATACAAAAAC